GGTGTTGGTATTTTGGCCCTGTTGATCATAGCAGACTTACGCAACCAGTGGCAACAAAAATGATGAAAAAATGCAAGGCAGCCATTAAAAATATTTGTGTTTCAAAATTATTTCTCCAGTGATTTCTAATGCCTAATTATCTCAAAAAGATTGTGGCTAACAAATTTGAGAAACCTCAGCAAGTATACCTCTAGTTCTGCAGTTAGTGTATTTTACTCTTACTTTAACCTGACTGAAGCTCTGAAGGTTATAAGGTTGTAGGGCAAATTATGTCATGAAATGTAATTTCTGTACTGATGAGATGTTTGCAGAAGAGATGTTTACAGAAGTTCATGGATTCCTTTGAGCAGAATGCAAGGCTTAGATTTTCGTATTTGCCTTGTGATGTTAGATGTCTAATTTCTCACACAGATAAGAATTGTGACTTATCTTAAGCAGCTATGTTGGGCCAAATAAGAGAGCAAATAGGACTAAAATTAATGGAATTACATTCAGATGCAGATCAGGTTCAGAACATCCTGAATTTCCAATACAGATTCTTCTGAAACTTTCAGTGCACATGGCGAAGCATATGAAGTTTGGTGTGGTTTCTTGCTCTTTAATCCCTGTGGTGAGTACATATGGTAGAGCTGACTTCATTCGGGAAAAGTACAGACCATTAGCCACCGGATCAAAGCGCTGGGGAGCTTAGCGGCTGTTAGTGGCACAACTCAGAGTAATAGCACCCCGAGGGAAATGGAGTAATGGAAATAGTCTCACAGCTGGAAGTTGATCAATAATACTTGGAAAAACTGCCTATAAGAGCCTTGATCAGACACTTGTATCCAAACTGGTTTCGTCCCCTGTAGGGAAGAGGGAAGGAAATGGTGTGAAAATAGCACCCTACTCACTTGGCTTTTGTGGCTAAATATCATTGCTAGTTAGAACTATCCCTAATGCAGCTCCTGCAGTTGTTTGCCTGGAATTTGAAATACTTTGTTTTGTATGTTGCTTTCAAAGTCTTGAACTATCTACAAAGGTATATTTGTCTTTGAGGGAATCCTGTACCTTAATCCCTTTTCATACTACAAGCTAGAAAGAACGCAGAACGTCAAATAGCATCTGGTTTGAAAGTAATTATTTAGGTTCAAATATATTTTTATCTATATTTATATAGGAAATAAAATGTGTGCCTTCATTTAAAATGCAATCCAGTGCATAAACAGCACCTCACTTTTTATCCTTTTTTAGAGCTGTGATGAACTGTGCCTAAAATAATTGCCACTGTTCTTCTGAAAGACTGTAAAGCTGGGTTTAGGGGAGAGCTTTTATCATTTGTTTTTGTTTGATTTTTTTTTTTTTTTAAGCATTGTATCTTTACCCAAAAGATCAATGGGACAATGTTGGCTTGAGACTTACAGTTCTGAAAGACATGGAGAATTCTGCCTGCACTTGCTGTTCCTTGGGCTCTAATATATAATGTTTACTTCAGGATTGCTCCAGCAGCTACGATATTTTTATACAACTTTCCTGGTCATTAAAACAAGCATTTCTGGGTCTAGTATAAATAAAGTACTGAAGCAGTAGCCAGACTTAACAGTTTTGCATGACGATTTTTCAGTTAAATTGAAGGTTATTAAATAAAGCAAGCCAATTCCTGATCTTGCCTAGTGCATGTTTGCAGTAATTCAGGATCTGATGCCAACAGAAAAAATGTTTTAGGTAGTACAAAGTGGTGAAGTAATCAAATTATCTTTCAGGAAATGTATGTTGTTTATTCCAAAGTATTTGAGGCATGATACAGAGCTAGTAGAACAGTTCACTGTTTACAGGATAGCAGTTTGAGTCGGGTGGATATGAAGCCTTTTTCTGGTACAGTTCTGGCTCCTGGTTGCAATGGACGGCAGGAATTTCTCCTTTCTCACTGACTGCCTGATTATTCTTCAGTTCTCTGCCCTGTCTCCTTCCCTCAAGAGTTGTAGCCTGCCTTCTCTCTTGCAAGAATTCACCACTTTAGCCCATGTGAGTCTTTCTCAGCTCAGTTTTGTTATAGAAATGATCTTTCTGTAAGAACACAAGAGACTAGATGACAGTTACAGTGCCAGCAAGTGGCACCCACGTATACGTAGCAGGGCTTATGAGTTATTAGGAGGAAACCCAGCTTTGTTTTTGCTGTGCTGTGTGAGTCATTTCGCCTCTCTTAGCATCAGCTTTTTAGAGCATTCATTTGGCAAAGAGATTTTGTCTGCATCACCACTACCAGAGGTTAGTAGTTGTTTTTCCAGGCATTGCTGGTCATGCAGCTCACGTTCCAGGCAGCCACCAGGCCAACTCTTATGTCCTGGAGCCTCCCAGAGCAGTTGGATGTAGCTATTTAATGACTGATATACTCAACCTATCCTGGAGCTAGGACGTACAGGATCAATGCACGAGTCACACAATTCGAACATACTTTCTCTAATCTGTGACATTTAGGTAATCCACATTATAAAGCTAATTACAAAAAATTTGGTTAACAGAGTTATCTGAGCATAGTTTATGGATATCTCTGGAGCGTTAAATACTCAGTCCTTAAACACAGATTGAACTGTACACATATGAGAATCCCCCTTATCTCAGTGGACTGTGGACTCATAGAAGATGATCCTATTTTCTTGACACTGTGTGTGGAAAAGAAGGTATGTATTTAGCAGCAGTAATATAAGGACAGTTGAATGAGATGGACTTTCCACGTTTTGTGTCCTTTTGAGGACTCTAAGTATGAATGAGTCTTCTTACCGGCCTGATGGCAAAGCTGTTGTCTCTGAGTTGGTTGTTTTACAAACTCCATGCACTGCTGCAGGTTTCTAATAGAGCTTAGAGGGATTTATGAAGACTTGTGATTCACAGGGAAAAAAAAAAAATCATTTGCCAGAAAAAATACAACCCAGAAGGGGAGGCAACTTTGAATGTTTTATCATGGTTTATAATGACTTAAGCCTCTAGAGAAATTCTGATAGCAAAAATTCTCCTTCAACGAGGGGTTGAATGGAGAACAGTCAAGAGCAATGAAAAGGAAAACCCTTGCTTTTTGCTGCTGCTGCTGAGTTTCTGATCAGATGTTCAAACAAAGCGTTGCACACAGAATCACTAAACAGACTGGTGAAAGGCCATGAGCTGACCTATTTAATTAGATCGTCCTGTATTGCAACTAAGTGATCTCAAAAAGCTGTGATAAGTGTCCCTATGAATCTACTGCAATAACCATATGTTTTAATATGACAACAGTTAGCATTCAACACGTAGTATGATTTCCAAATAAAGGTAAAGCTAAAGGCAGGTAAGGTGCATCAGCTTTCCTTTACTGAAATAGTAAAGTGCTTTGATATGATCTAGTGCAATCTGGCCTTTTAAATAATATTTAACTTTAGCCTGCTTCTGCATGGGGACATTGGTCCAGCTGTTTGAGTCTGCTTGTGAGATCAGAACCTTACCATCATTTTATATATGCTCTTTGCATAGTGAAGGTCTATGCTGCCAGATTAGTTCATACTTGTATGAATTTCACATCAAAAAAATGAACAACAGTGCCTTTTAAAAGCTCAGTGAACATAAAAATATAAACTCACTGAAAAGATTATCATTTTTTCCACTTCTGAATGCTGTGTGGCTGTGGATATTAGTGAAGGATATGATTTTTCTCAATACTTTGTGCTAAAACATGTTTGTTTTTTTCTTGAGAAGTAACAGTTATTGAGTTTACTGGAAAGATGGACCACGCTCACTTCTTCCTCTTTTTAAACTACACCTTTGACAACAGTATACTGCAGTATGTTTTGCCGTCAGTTTATAAGAAATATGTTGCTGATCCTAAATGAAGTTAAGGTAGGACAAATATATTTTGGAGAGCTAGGTCTCCCCCTACCATAGAAAGAGACAGTAGAATTTTTGGCACTTTTTCCACTTTGAAGCGCTGTCCTTAACTTCGGCCCAACTTGGTTTGCAAGGACGATTTCACTGATGGGAGAACATCTGGGATATTGAAGTATGTAGATGTGCTTAAAGTGATAGTTGTAACAGAACGTTTCTCTTGACGTTTCGGTCCAAAGTAGCACACCCTATTACTACCTGAGTTTACAAAGATGCAGACGTGGCATCTTAGTAGATGCCATGCATGCGTAGGCAGGTGTCAGAGTCTAGGAGAGTTCATTTTGGGAATAGCGTTTTCTTCAGCGCATAACTGGGTCGTGCAAACATCCATGTTCCACTTTCTGACAAAGGAGTGCCAGACTAGTGAGAGTGATTGCCCATAATGTCCAAAAGCATGACCTGCCAGAAAAGTTTGCTGTATATCTCTCTGGGATTTGCAATATGTTAAGGATGGGTTGCACTTAGCTTGTGTGCACAGATCCACTCTAGCCAACGTGCAGCAATTTGAATGCTTTCAGAAAGCACTGGCTTCACCATGCATTCACTGCTGACTTCTCCTCTTCAAGTATGGTAAAGCCTGATACAGCAGGTGCTGCTTTACAGTATGCCTAGGCAGCCTGGTTATAAACTGCTGATCTTGGAAGAGAAGACTCTCTCATTTTTTGATAGAGAATTTTTTCAAAATCAGATTGCCTCTTCATTAAATTTTACTACGATCTCAGGATGTTTAGTTTCTGTCTTAAATCCCATGGGTCTCTAAGGTTATGCAAGAATGATTTTTTTGGAAGATATCAGCCTTTGCTGTTGCATAGAAGAGCTCCAGAGTGTGGGTTTAAAAGGCTCAAGTATTAAAATATGAATAAAAAGAACCCATACGTGGTTTATGACATTGATGTTGGTTCATGACTTGAATAGTTTGAAGTGATGATACTGCAAGAAACTGTGTGTTTCTGTTCCGGTTTGGTGCATTTAAAGAACCGTAAATATTAACTACAAATTACTAACTACTATTTACAGAATACTTGTTTTTCGTAAGCTCACTTTAATATTATTCTTGATTCTGATGGATATGTTTTCAGTCTCTGATGTTTTCTTCTTTTTCTCTTTTTCAGTTATACCAACAGAGTTGTTTCCAATGGACTGAAGGCACAAATTAATAATCCAGAATTGAAAGTCAGAGGATTAGACCCTCTCATCAGTAATTTAATCGATAAACTTCAGCACTTTAATCAAGTAAGTAAGTTTTAGAGATAAAAACATTTTCTCAATGGATCTGATGATAGAGCTAAAGATAAAAATACTAGGTGGTGCTTCTTCTCATATTACATTTCCCAGGAATGATAGCCCTGAAATAGCCATGTAGAAGGCTTGGTACTAAGGGGTACTGAAGATACTTCTCTGCAACCTGGATTAGGAGTTCTAGTGAGGCAAAACTATTTCCCTGGAAGTTGCTCTAATTCACAGTTGTTTCATAGCTGTGATTTTAACTGTCTTGCAGACCAGAGTCCCAGTAATATGGAGGAATTCCTGAGCCCCACAATTCACATCAAGCTGGTGACTAGAGTCAGTTGGTGTGAGAGCCTTTTGGAGTCCTATGACAGTCTTATGTTGGAGGAATATATTTCTAGTTTGTGCAACTGCCTGTTTTTCAGTGACATAAACAGGTCAAAAAATTGAATGGGTCTTTAAATGTGTGATAACTGAACCTCATACCCTGTTGAAGTCAGGACAGAGTGCTCCAGGATGAATTAGTTGTGCACCTTTGAAAACTTTTCCTCAATAGACCTTGTTCTCAAGCCCTTTTGTCCAAAAAGGGAAGATAACCTACCAATAAGTCTGTTAGAAGCATGATTAACTTATGTCTGCCTCTGTCATCTGTTTGCACTCCATTAGATGTGCTTGCAGTCCAAGCTGAGCTGCAGCCTTTCAAAGTTAAATGCATGATTCTGTAATATTACTGCTTCAGCGCACCTCTTTGTGTTCTCAAGGTAATGCCATTACCAGAGATTGATTTTCATTTAAAGCAGTTATATTTTCCTGTCAACTTGGGAGAATGGTTACATCAGTGTGGTCAGTCAGATGTGTTTGCACATTTCGCCTACTCATAATTCTTCACCTTTAAAGACTGATGGAACATGGAAATAGAAATAGTCTCTAGAACACAGCTATAAGATCCAAGTCCAACTTTGCAGGTGGGATATGCAGGAAGAAAAGCAATCTGCACTGGTAAAATGGCAGGAGGATTTGCTTAGTCAGGATGTGGGAGGTTATAAAGACTGTAGCTGTGACTCAGTCATGGTTTGATCTCTTATTTGCTCCTGCAAAAGTACAACCCCACTCCTCCTCTCATCAACAGCAGGTGGTTATTGCATAATCTAAACATTAATTAGCATTTTTTGTTAAATCTATCTTGTCTCTAATATTCTGTGGGCTTCACTTTACTAATTCTTTGTATGATACTGCTTGATTTAACTTACCAAGGGGGGTTACAATAAGCAGTCTTGTGCAGTACTTAATATTAGAGTGAAATAAACGTTATGTGGTCAGATTGAAAAGGATGATTCATTATTTATCGTCCTTTGCGTGTTATCAAGTAGAGTGTTAATTTACTTTATAAATATTAGAATATCCATCCATGTAATAGTCTTCTATAAACACTGACAAAAGGAAATAGTTAGAAATAGATTAAATTAAAAGTAGCTGCGTATTGCACATACTATTTCATTGTGTCCTGTAGAAAAATAAAAATCTGAAGGGTCTCATTATAATGAGTTGTTTACCTACTTTCTTAACTTATATACATTTAAAAAACAACTTCAAAGACCACTTTTTAGTTAGTAGAATAAAATCCAGTTCCTCCATAGGTCTTTGTATAAGTCAGAAGTGCTGCTTTCTGTTACTTTAGGAGAATATCGTCCTTAAGTAAATGTAACTCCCATCAGATTGAGGGGCTTAGAAATAATGGATTCCAAGGGTGAAGGATTAAACAGAATACTGATTATTGCCCTAAGATGGTTTGTTCTTAAGTACTTGGAATAATATAAATTCCTTTGATCATAATTTTAGTAAGATTTCTTCAGAGATCAAAGCATCAAAGAAGTTGCTAAATATCTAAGGCTTTTGCATACAACATCAAGCACGTGTAGCTGTTTTCTGCTTCTTGAACTTTCATTTCAGTTGTAATGTTAATCTACAAATAAAAACTGACACTGAAAAGCCGATGAAATCAGGATTTTCAGGTGTCGTCGATGGAGTGTGTGTACTGTACAGAGGAAGAGTTACATAGAATCCCATTACTCATTTTATGGGCAAATTGATATTTTTATCAAGTTATTCTTTTCTCTCTTTTTTTTTTTTTTTTTGCAGGCAATACGTAAGGGAGAATTTAAGCAATGATAAAATAATATGTTATCTTTGTATCTCCTTAAATATTTGAAATTTGCAACACCATTTGATGCAGTAGCTGCACATTTTATATACAAAAGCAATCCTGGAGAGGCAGGAAGCTTGAAGAGCAGAGAACAAAGGAACGCACGAAATATCCATCCTAAGTGATTTAATGCTTGTAGGCCCCAGTAATCCTGTATCACTTAAGTAATATTGCTTAACTACATAAAAGAAAGTGTCTTTGTGGATAGGAAACGTATGTGTTGGGATTTTTAAAATAAATAACATTTCTCTCTTAACAAAGCAAACTGTGGCCATGCTGCATCTACCCAAAAAGAATTTGGACCTCTTTGGCTTTCTGTCTCCTGATTCTGTTTCGCAAAGGTGCACATTTTTGAAAATCAGGATAATCAGCCCCTAGATTGATTTGCTGAGGTTGTGGAGGTTGTCAGCTACAGCACATTTAAACCATCTGGATTCATTTTTCTCAAAGATGTGCCTTAGCTCAGCAATTCCTAACCTTTTGCAGAGCAAGTCTAGTTGCCACTGTCTTCCCTATATAGCGCCTCTTCAGCCTCCTATCTCCTACTGTTAAACCCTGGCTATTGTTATATTACGCCTACTTGGGACTTAAAGGGCCTATGCGGGCTTAGAAACGTTACTGCTTGTGACCTCTCCTCCAACCTGCAAAGACTTATGTCTCTTCACAAACAGAGCACATTTTCTAGAACTGGACTTCCAAAACACATCCTCTTTCTCTATCCAAAGAATTTGGAGAATTTGGATATTTGTTCAGGATTTCAGGTATTCCCTGTCCCTCCTGGAACTGCAAAGCAAGACATCTGGAAATCCCAGATATATACGCTCTCTCCCTCTGTTGGCTAACCATACAGAATGTGTGTAGTTTAGGGCATTGGATTTACTGCAGATGCGTAGGTTAATATAAAAACACACACTTAACATGATTGGGTAGGTCCTAGATGCGTAATGCGCGAGTGTGTCCGTGTCTATGGTGCACTAATAATCTGTGCACAATCAGTGTATCTGGCTTTCAGGATTCATTGCATGCAGAGTCTACTATACAGGTACTTCTGTGATGGAAATCCAATACAGAAATATAGGAGGTCGAAAGCTTTGTTCTCTGCAACGTGATATTGCCGAAGGCGTGCTGTCCTAGTCTGTAAGGATCTCACCCAACAGAAAAGCCCCAAGACTGATTTTATCTTATGCAAATAATGTAAGACCCTCTTTGCTACTAAGCTGGTGTGCATGGTCCTTAGCAAAACAGTGGCTGTTGATTGCTAAGCGGAGGATTTGAGTGGTCTGGGTGGTACCTCAGCTTGTCTGCAGCTCAGCAACTCTTGGGAGGTTTTCATCAAGGCAAATGTTTTTGTGGCTTACCTGATCCACGTTGAATTCAGGTCACTGAAGTTAAAGGTGGTAACAACCCTCACCCCTTCATCTCAAAATGTAAACAGTAGCACAAATGATACAGAAATCGGAATTAATACCGTAGTCATTGGTTCCTTAATAAACAGCAGCAAGAAATGCATATACTTTGGGAAAATAAAGGTAGAATTAAAGGAACTGAAACGATTTTAAGGTCTTATAATGCCAGGAAAGAGCAACTGGACTGTGTGTTTATTTTTTATCTCCTACTATGCTAGATAATAATTATTCACGCCTATTTTCAGATAAACTATCATTTCAAATTACTTCATCATTTATGCAGAGTTGTTTTCTCACCCTGTTTTTTAAAAATTCATTCTTGTTGGATTCATGGGCTGTTTTTCTTCTCCCTTGCTAAGAATCAGACACCCCTCTGCTTCCAGATATATATGCTGAATGCCCAGCTCTGTGATGACTTATGATCTTTTTCATAATCCATATGCAATACAACAACTCATCCCAATGCTTGAAACAATCCAGCTTACTCAAAGACTGAGTTTAATCTCTCTTTCTGCAGTCTTCTCTATGGTTTTCGGTTTCTTAGGAGATATATATGTACATATGTAATGTACACTGTGTAAAGATATTGGAGACAACAGATTTCATCGTATCTCTGATTAAAGCAAGACAAGATACGTGAGTGGTGCCAGCCTGGGAAAAAATAAACAAAAAGAGATCTAATAGCAATTTAGCTCTGTCTTATTTCTTTAAAGAACCTGGCATGTTTCTGTCATATGTACTTCTTAGCAGGTCATCTCTGAGTCCATTGCTTTTCACTTTTGTGAAAGTCAATCGAGTTCATCAAAGTTGAGACAAGTCAATCAAAGTTAAGATAAAACATCTGCTGTCTGTTGTGGAATTCTTTTTTTTACCTGGAAATATCAAACTCAACAAGAACCCCCTTTGCAAAGCAGCGTATCATACAGTAGTTCATCTGCATATAGTAGTACGTAGCATGCCCAGTAATGGGGATGTTTCTCACAGTAAGGCTGTAGGTCTCAGACAGTATTTAGCTGCTGACTGATTAGGAGCGTTTGTCTGTCAGGGCTTCCATCAGAAGGTGTAAAATTCACAAGAAATATTTGAGCAGTGGTCTTGGGGCATCGGAAGTCTATCAAAATCCTATGCTGCTCTCAGGTTTCTGCAAACTACTATTACTCTGAGATCAGTCATTTGTGTCTCTTCCCCATTTGTGACTCTTCTGCATCCCAGGTGAGACCGCTGGGGAGCATCCCTGCAGAGGGGGCACGCAGGAGAAGGAGCAGGGACGAGCTCCCAGCTCTGTTCCTACTGTGGCGCTTGAGGAAGAAAAACGCACACAGATTCCCTTTGCCCACACACGTAGAGAGGCAGATAGAAAGACCAGACAATAACAACCCAGTCATGAGGCTGTTCAT